ATGATGACAGTGGCAACTGGCAAGAGTAATTATAACTGTACCGATGGCAAATCAACTTTTTTCCCTAGAATAATTTAAATACAAAACCACCGAAGAAAAAAGAAGTGCAAAAAAAAAGCATTAGGAAATTTAAGCGTAAGATAGCTTATCAAGCAGCAAAATAGTAAAGAAAAAAAACTAATTTTTGGAAACTGTTATTGAAATAAGCAGATGCTGACAAGAAAAACAGTAACTTAAATAAATGAGAAGAATAAAAAACATTAGAAGTTTTTTTCCTTTTTGCAGGTGATTTCGCTATTGCTAAAGTCACTTTACTTCTATTTTAAAAATTATAGGGTATTTTTTTTAGATTTGTTTTTAAAAAAAAAAAAATTGCGATGCAAATAAACAGCTAATTATGTCCACCAATATAAAAAATTATATGCTTCAAAAAAGTAACTAAAAAAAGTGACAAAAGTAGTTCGCCTTGTAATTGTGGTTCCCCACTAATAACGAACGTCTCCCAAAAAAGCTTCATTTAAAATTAATGAATAATGTGAGAAAAAAACCTTATTTTTTTCCCCCTATTCCTTCATTTTACTTTGACTATATATATTTTTTTGCTTTCCTCAATTAAGAACTACATCTTTGAAATGAGGGAGGAAAAGAATTGAAAAACGGGAGTAGGAGATGGGGAAGACGGAGAGGATAATAGAGAACTTACAACTACGGAAAATGATCAGCGATCTTAGTTCAGTGCCTGACAAAAGTTATACTTCATTTAATCCTTCAGTTTTTTCCGTCTATGAGCCAAAAAACAACTTTTTTCTCTCAGTTCCAAAACGTCTTATCTGAACTCAGTCGAACACAATTGTTAGCTCAGCGCAGTTTTTTGCCCTTAACCTAGCCAAATTTGATAACCAAAAAATCAGCATTGTTTCCACATTAGGTAGACCTTTTTTTTTTTTTTTTGTCTCGTCGCGTTGGAAAATATTAAACAGCTTTTTCAGACTTTTACTAAAGGCAAGTAAATACTCGGTTGAAGAATCCACGCAACCGAATTTAATACGTCTGTACAACAATTGAGACATTCAGCTACAATGTGAGATTGGCAAAAACGTTTTCCCATTTACTCAGCAGTTCCCAAACACCATTTAAAGAGACAACGACACCTTATCGATCAGTAATTGCTGCTAATCAGAGAGAAAAATAAGTCTTACTTTCATTGTACCGCCGGAACAGTGTGCACTCCACATTCACACACCAAAAGATCACTGCTAAAGAAAAGAATGAAATTTTATTTGTAAATATCTTAGTAGAGAAGAAAATGTATCCACTTAGTTGTTAAATTTTTCAGGCTATATGAAGCCATAAACTAACCGTGAAACAGCAGCGTCTTAGCATGAAGCATTACTGTAGCTCACATGAACCAAAGACCGGCAACAGAAACACTAGAAACATAGTTCTTTTTTTATTTAGTTTCATTTTTTCCGCAAAAGAAAAACTAAGGAAACAAAAATAAAAGAAGGAAAAACTCTTAAAGTTTTGGAGAGCCCTATTGAAGACACATTTTTTATCTTCCTCGCCTTCCTCCACTTTTTCTTCTCAGGCTTATTTTGTTATTGTTGTTATTGCTATTTGCTGTTAGCCAGTTCTGCTCTATCCGACAAATACTTTGACGTGCAAGAAGATGTACCCAAATCTTCTCTGTTCTAATTTCTTCTTTTCATTTTTCTAGTTTATAAATTCTCCGTGAAACAAAAAAATAATAATAAAACCTAGAAGAAGAGAGAACAAAAAATCTTCTACTAGAAAATACAAGTTAGATCCGCGTAGCAACAAAAAGAACAGCAAAAGACTGCAGGAACTGATAAACAGTGTCGGGATTTCCGCCTACTGAAGCAGAATATGATATTAAAAAAAATGGAATATTTGCATTAAAAAGTCACTCATTCTTCGTCAAACATACAAAATATAAAGAATTTGGCGCGTAGCAGAAAGAAAAATCGAGAACAAAATTTAAAATGTAAAGAGAAAAAAATTCTTACAAATGAAAATTACGTAGTAATCTTCTGGCAACCACCAAAAAGCTCTTTCGGTTCAGACCACGATGTTTGCATTTTTGAAGGGAAACGGCTGCCGCGACTTTTGGCATATGCCTAGTTCTTGCTCCTGCTCATCAGCCCTTCAACATTTGCTGATTAAAGTTCCGAAACTTTAGAGCCGGAGCTCTGACTCCACGAGAAAGATGGTTGCCGAAGACACGTATAAGGTATAAAGCGGTCAAAAATGGAAACGTTTGCCGAAAAAAAAAAGAGGAAAAAAAAACAGGAAGCCGTCCGGCTCACATTGGAGGGAAGTATTCTTTCTTTTTTTTCTTTTTTTTTTTACTTTCCATTATTATCCTCTAAAGTGCACAAACGTTGACTTTGACATTTCGGTTTATCATTCGTTTTCATATCGGAAAGAGATCAAAAACCGCTTGCTGCAGCTACTATTTCTTCTGCAGCCTGCCCTTGTCCTGGCCGTATTCAACAAGCGAATTGAATTAGCGGCCAAGCAACGCAGCAAAAAGCAGAAAAGAAAAGAGCAAAAAAAAAGGTAACAAAGACTCTCTTTTTATTTCGCTGCTCTTACCTAGAGCCCAGATTACTAAAATATGAGTTCTATTCAGATGCCAAGAGACAGATTAGATATTTATCGAGAAATATAAGGCAATCAGATCGCTAAACATCGGCCTCAACCATAGCCAATCAGCAGACTACGCCTAAGTGACAATTTAAGCCAGCTTACTGCTTTTTACGGCTAACAAACAACAACAGAATATGTGGCGAATTTGAACGAGTGCAAAGTTTAGGTGCTAGAAATACAAGTTTAGTGTCTTCACTAATGTCACACAAATTTGTGGACCTAAGAAAAAAAACCACTGACTTAACTTTTTTCATGTAACTTTTAGGACGAAATTTTCAATAAATTCTGACCCTTCTTTAGGTTGTTTCATTACTTGCTGTCAACTTTGTATTTCCCTTCCACAACAAGTTTTTTTTTTTTTTCAATTGATCATTCCATATTTTTTTTTCTGTTCACTTCTGCAAAAAATACATCATAAGCCGATCGTCATTCAAAAGTCAATGCTGGGAGCCCAGTCTGAAGACCTCTCGACACGTTATTAATATTTGATCATCACCATCATCATCTTCATCATTAAATAAAACAGCAACAACTGAGAGAGGCTTACATCGGAGAAAGGGATAGAAGCAAGGAGCAATGAGACAAAACTGGGCAAAAATTAAAATCTGACTGAGTAATATCGGAAAAAGTTACTGGACTGCAG